CTCCCAGCCTCCCCTCTCTTGGGCTTTTTGGCCGCGAGCCAACACAGGCACACAGCGCCGCCCGCTGTAGCGCGACGTGCGGCCGATGAATGTGGCACGGAACGTCGCGCCGGGCACGACAAAAGCGGAAGGGCCTCGGACTCGAGAGATGGCTCGCCGTCGGTTGTCGCCTCTACGACGGGGAGGATAAGCTGCGGCTATAGGGCAACTAGGCACAACCAAGGCGATGTGTACGTACGCGGCACGCACGACGCCGACCCGGTTCATGGCATGGCCCCATCTTATCGCGTACAGGGATCGGGATTCCTTCGATACCCCAACGGAGAGGGGGCCCGCTCTAGAGAGCAGGCTAGAGAGCAGAGAACCTTACTCCCACTCTCCCCATATATGATGGCATAGTATTATGAATTTGATGTATCTTGGAATTAATCAAGGAACGTCAACCCCACCTCTCCTGTCGCCCTCCCCGGGGATGGCTAGGGAGGCGAGCTCCGGCCACCCCCTCTCCCCCACCTCTCTCCTCCGCCTCGCCGCCGCCTGAGCGGCCGCCGGCTTTTGTCAGCGGCTGCAAGGATGGCGGCGGCGGGGATCGCTTCTCGCCGGCGGGACCACGCTTGGGTAACCTAGGGAGCCGCCCTGGACGGATCCGGCCCTCCTGAGGGCAGATCTGGTGTGGGGCGAGCTTGCGGCGGTGGCGGTGCTGCGGAGCTCGTGGCGACAGCGTCAGCGTCAACGGGGTGAACTCGTGGCGGGAGAGGCCGTCGCAGCGGCGACAGTGGCGCGGAGCTTGTGGCGACGGTGGCAACAGCGGCAACAGCAGGTGGCTGGCCGACGGCAGCATCGGCTGCTGTGGCGACCGTGGCTGCAGTGGGAGGAGGCACGGCGGTGGCGACCGTGGTTGCGATGGAAGGAGGCACGACGGTCTCGAATGGCTAGTCGGGGGCGTGGCAGACGGCCGCATCTGGCCAGCGTGACAGCGATTGGAGGAGGGGTCGGAGGCTGGTCCTCGGCACAGAGAGGTACGGCTGATGGCAGTGGAGACCGGCATGGCGCGAGAAGCATGCCCGACTATGGTGGATGCCGGCTTGGCGTGAGGGACACGAACGGTGGTGGGAGGCCGGATTGGCGCGATGAGGCGCGTCCGGTGGTGGAGGAGGTCGGCGCAGCGTGATAAGGCCTGCTCACGGAGGAGGAGGTGACCATGGTGCGAGGAGCTGCCGGTAGGTGTGGCGCGGTATTCGGCGTACGAAGGCTGGCCGGCGGGGGGGGGGGGGGGGGGCGCCGGTGAAGTGGTCCGACATGTCGGCAGAGTTGGGTGATGGTGGAGCATCGGTCGGTGGTGGAGCAGGTGGTGAGCGGCGGCTGAAAACCTAACCCGGCCTTGGCCAGACTGACAACGATGGTGTCATTCCCTCTCCTGAGAGCGTTGTCGTGCTGTCTCATCCCTTAAGGGTGGTTGCCGGGTGAAAGCCCAGTCTTGGCTCTTTTGAGACCCTGACGGACGACGTCAGCGGCTTTTCGTCGCTTCTCTCCTTGGAGACGTCGTTTAGGCATCCCCTTGCCGAACCACTCGAACAATTGGTGCATGCACGCTCTAGATTCTCATCCTCTTGTGGCGGCGTCCTAGTTTCTACAAATTTGCCACGTCGGAGAGCCTAGGGGCGGGGACAGATGTTCTTCTCTCTCACCCTCTCTCCCTAAATCTGGAAGACGTGGATAGAGTTGGGCTTTGTGTTGGTTGTAAGGGTGTTTTTTTGGCGATCTCGTCTATGATTCGTTGTTGGCGTAGTGGCGACCGGTCCGGTGTCAGCCTTCTCCTGGACCTGTGTGTTGGCGCTGTCGGTGTGTGGGTGATGGTATTTTTCCCCTTTTTTCTTGGTTACGATCTACCAAGGTTTTAATCCTGTATTTTTTTTCCTATTCTATCAATAGAACTTCGCACCGTCTCGTGCGAGTCGTTCAAAAAAAAAGTTGTATCTTGCTCCATCCTAATTTCGATATCTTGTTCGGTCTCACAAGCTAAACGAGCTGGCTTGAGCCGGCAACCGAGTCAACCTTTTAACTCGTTTGGATAAGTTATCCTAACGAGCTAGATCGAGGCGAGCTGGCTTGATATCTACTCCTAATTATGATTTATTCATATTTATAGTTTCATCCGGTTCTAAGTTACTATATATTGAGATGAAAAAAATTACCTTGTACTTTCTTCTTTGTTTCATATCATCACAAAGATATATCTGAACAAATATTTGTCCATATACGTCTGTAGAAGATTAGAAGTTGATTTTTTAGACGAAAGTGTATGCACCAAATTGCAACTTGGTCTCATCCAAAATGGCCATGTGTCGTCTTTCCCAATCCCTCTCCTTTCCTTTTTCACCTATCCTCTTCGTTTCTTTGCCACCCCCCTTGTCCATGCATTTACACATCGCTAAATCATACCGGTGGTCAGGTTACAAGTCCACAACGAGTCAACGAAACTACCCAGCTGAGCTAGGCTTGATTTCAATCCAACAAATATGAAATAATGAAAGTGCACTGTAGCAACAGGCTTGCAAGTTGTAACACTGCTTCCCCGCAAAAAAAAAAAAAGTTGTAACACTGCTTATCACTGTGCTGGTTTCTCTGCCGCAACACATCCAGCAAGATGATCCATGGATCATACTACATGGATAACCAGGGTGTGCTCACAGCTCGTGTGTACATGTGTGTGTGACTGATTGATGTGGCTTCGATGGGGCTCACAAAAGTTGGCGTTACGTGACAATTGGCTGAAACTGTATTACGGAGCACGAACTCGATTGGATTAGTTTGGCTTGGTTCGTTCATAGTAGCAACTAGCAAGACGCTGATTGCAGACATAATCCATACTTATCACTTGTGGATAAGAATATGCGGACTACTAGATAGGCCAAATGCTAATACTCCATGATCAACTGTTATTTATCCATCAGCATTGATTATTGTCCACAAGCTTAAAGGCTTTGGTTTGGCCAGCTAACAACACCACAACTACCGTATCAAAAGCTAGGCATCACGCAGATCATCACGTTGGCTCCCCATCAAGGCCCCCACCCACAGCCCACACAACCACTCTCACACACAGACGCGCACCGTAGAGCATCCTAAAACAGTGTCAAGATTGCCCACATCGTCTGAAAGAAAAAAAAACACGACAATCAAATTCAGATAGTAATGCTACTCCCTCCATAGTCCATCCACGTGTGTAGAGCATTTCTAAGATTGTTATGACATTATTAAGAAGGAAAATAAAAGACTTTTGATGCCTCTTATTCAAGTGCGGTTGCCATCTTCTGATTAGACAAGATGAAAGGCTGAAGCCTGTGGTTCGACGAGAATTTAGTGATAGGTGGTTGAAAGGAGATAGAATACTTTATAAATTTCGTGTACAAATTTTAAAGGTACTTACATCGTTAACGGAGACCGTTCAAAAATATAGCAGATTCTTCTAAATATATCAACCAATTACTTATAAGATAAAAAAAATTACCACTTAACTTAATTATAGTCCCAACAAGTCTCGATCTATATTCCTCACTTAGAGCAAGGTTAAGATAGCATGTTATTAGCTGACCGTGTCATCTATAGTAAGCATAGTAACTAATACCTATAATATGAATATTATAACATAAATATTTTATTGTTTTATGGGATCCACCATCTTTTTTCTTCCTCATACCTCATCATTTCCTGTATTATTCTCTTTCTCCTTTTCTTACCTTCGATTCGTCAACGATTTTGGGCTTGAGCAGTCAGCGAGGATGGACGATGACGGTGATCTGGCGGATGCAGGTGACTACGGCGGTCTGGCGGACGCAAGAGACAGTGGTTGTCGTGCAAGACAAAGGCGGCTGTGTGGTGGAGGCGGAAGGTAACGGTGCATGTGCGGCGGACGCAAAGACGGTGACAGCTGGGCTAGACGAGCTCAGTTGTCTGGTGAACGCGAGAGACGATGGCGGCTAGGGTAGATGCGGGAGTCGGCGCCGGCCAAGCCGAGGGTGACAGTCCAATGGACACGATGGACAAGGGCGTTAGCCATGGAGTATCGAGGAGCAGCACCAACGCAAACCATGGCTGATGTAGGAATGCTTCTTCATCTACAGGCGAGCCCCACAACTTCTTTAAGCAGCGCGTGCGGCGACAAATTAGTCGTGGGCGCTCTCTCTTCCCCCCTCTCCTCCAATTCATCACAAAATCCTACGTGAAACTAATACCGTTCATTATTGTACCCGCTCTTATTTTATAGAGCAATCTTTTTATCCATCTCGTTTTATCCGTGTGAAAGGCTACCAAATTTTTGAGATGGCAGGTGTAGGTAAGGTTAGAGCATAGGAATCTCTCAGCAAGAACATACTTCCTCCGTATGGACCGTACCAAAAAAAACTAACATAGGATTGAGATGTAACGTAACCTAACATAACGAATCTTGGCAGAAGACTATCTAGATTTGTTGTGCTAGGATTGAGATGTAACGTAACCTAACATAACGAATCTTGGCAAAAGACTATCTAGATCTTGGCAAAAGACTATCTAGATTTGTTGTGCTAGATTATGTCCGTCCTTATATTAGATTGGATTTTTTTAAGACCGAGAGAGTAGTGGCCAACTGGGGCAGACAAAGCTACTGGTGACTAATCAGGTTGGTACACGTGGCGACTTGTGATTTCTCTGGGGGGCCGTAGGCTGCGGTTAGATGGCAGGGTCAACCTCCTTATCGGCGATATAAATGGCGATAAGATGGGCCATGCATGTCGTTGACAATGATTTGCCATCGCTTAGCTGCTACCGCTCCCACAACCGACGATTCCTTGAGACGTTTTAACCGTACAAAAAATGAAGGGTAATTTCTACAGCAGCAGTAGAAATTACTGCCTAAATAAACATTTTCAAAAATTTATATTATCAAAAATTTGATAAATTGACAACATTATTAAGTTTTGATAGGATAAATTAAATATGATGTTGCTAAATTCTCTATATAACAAAGTAAATATCGTTATATATTTGTTAATAACAAATAATGATACGATTTAAATTAATTGAACATATTAGTACTACGAAGAAAAAATTACTGCGGCTAGATATTGACAAATGAAACGACAAGACGTCAAGCCGGGACAAGGAGGAAGAAGAAACAAACAAACGAACCCGTGTGCGCCGTCGCGAACACTCGCCGTGAGAAGGCCCACGGCGTCGTCCATCAATCAGACCATCACCAATCGGCGAGTGAAAAAATACAAAGAAAAATAATTGTATGCACGAAGCACTCCAGTAATGTAATTTTTTTTCCAATAGAGTAAGGTAGGTAAAAATCGAGCACTAATGCTACAGTACACTCTCGGTCTTGGCAGGTCGCGCCGAAATATTTTCTAGGCCTGAGAAGAGGAGGGTAAAAATGCAGTAAAATCCGACGCGGTAAAAAAAAAAAAACAGTAGAGGGATGCGTGTCCCCCTACTGGGCCACACGTACCGTAGCCGCAGCTGCGGTGGTTTTTTTTTTTCTCCTTCGTTTTGACTCGTCGCTGCGGCTACGCGCACGCGCGGCGCGCCGCGGTGGCGTGCGGGGGGCGTTGGATTAGTACCGGGCGAGAGCGCGGCGGAGCACCTGGGCGAGGAGGCTGGGGGCGCTGAGGTGGGGGAGGTGACCCTCGGTCTGGAGGAACTCGACGGTGGTGCGGCCGCCGAGGTGGGCCTTGAGGTAGGCGGCGACGGAGGCCGGGACGGAGACGTCGCGGGTGGTCTGGACGACGACGCAGGGGGCGCGGACCATGCCGAGCACGCCGCGGAGGTCGGTCTTGAAGACGGTCTGGCAGACGTGGAGGGAGATGTCCGGGCGCATGTTGAAGAGGGTGCGGCTGAACTCCTGCACCGCCGCCGGCACGTCGGCGCCCACCGCCAGAGGCGCGTACCCCGTCGCCCACGCCGAGTAGTTCGCCCCCATCGCGTCGAACACCTGCTGTATCTCCTCCAGCTCGAACCCGCCGTGGTAGTCGCTGTCGTTCAAGAACCTGCACACACATGTCCGTGCTCCCCGATCGCCCCCGATCAGATTCAATTTTAAGAGCGAGAAAGGATTCACATCAGTGGAAGCGAGCGTACCGGGGAGAGGCGCCGATGAGGACAAGCTTGGCGAAGAGGTCAGGTCGTCGGATGGAGGCGAGGATGCCGATCATGGCGGAGACGGAGTGGCCGACGAAGGCGCAGCGCGGGATGCGGAGCGCGTCGAGGATGGCGAGCAGGTCGTCGACGTAGGCGTCGAGGTTGTCGTAGCGGCGGAAGTCGAAGTGGTCCGGGTTGACGCTGCCGGCGCAGACGAGGTCGTAGAGCACGACGCGGTGGTCGCGGGTGAGGTACGGCAGCACGCGGCTCCACGCCGACTGGTCCGTCCCGAAGCCATGCGACAGCACCACCACCCGCTCGCCGCTCCCCACCACCCGCACGTTCAGGATCTGCAGCAGCTTCGCCCCGCTCGGCGCCGCCGACCCGCTCCCTCCTCCCCCTCCTCCCCCGCCGCCCACCATCGTCTTCTCCGAGCTCGACGACGCCGACGACCCCCCGCCCCCGCCGCCGCCGCTGCTGCTGCTGCTCGGGCTACTGGGCGGCGGATGCGTCGATCGCAGCATCACACCAGCGCGGCGGATTGGCAAGCCGTGGCGCGCTCCCCTTTTATATACTACTACTACTACTACTATCACCACTGGCCATGGGAGATGGTCTTGACTCTTGCCTCGCTTCTTCTCTCTCTTTCTTGCTTTGATTTCTCTCTCTGCTTTATTCCACTGTCTTAAGCTTCGTTGGGTGCGGTGGTAGATTGGGATTTTTGCAGAGAAGGTGTGTGATTGCTTCAGTTATTTAGGGGGGTGTTTGGGTTTTGTCTCCATGTCCAATTATCCAATCCACAGCAGATAAAAAGGAGAGGCAGTGAGGCACCTATAATTCTCTGGATTTTTTTTTCTCAGGAGAAGTTTTTTTTTCTCTTATCGTTTTGTTTTATTTTTTTTTGACTTCACAATCCCAACCAGAGATGCCACTGCAATTAATATTACTCGTAGTTGAGAGTTTTGACAAGCTAAGAACGTCGCTGTTAGTGTCTGTAATGTAGCGTTTGATTATCAGCGTTAAGGGAATTTTTGCAGCAAACGTTGTAGACATATTAGATGATGTTATAAATGATTTAAAGAGTATAGAGGAAAAGATGTTAAGTGAATATGTTAGTTCTTCTGTTAATCAGGTACATACTTCAAATGTTGATAGCGAGATATTGGATGATCAGGTGGATGATAATTCTCTACTTCAACATTTGTGTGGTGAATTAATGGAGGAGGTGATGGATTTTAGTGGTGTGGATGATAATTATTCTTAGACCACTTTATATTCTTTAGATACCTCTCCTAATAGTAAGAAAAAGACTAAAAGGGGAAAGAAAAAAAAGAATATTTTTAAATGAAAGGGTTGTTCTGGAATTGTGATGGGTTTAAGGTCCCGAAAAAACATAAGTTTATTTCTGATTTAACAAAGGAACATCACCTTGATTTTATTGCTTTGTCAGAGACTATTAAGAAAGATTTTAGTCCGGCTGTTCTTAAAAATCTGTGTGCTGGCAAATAATTTTTGTGGCATTGCAAGCCTCATAGAGGTAGGTCCGGTGGTTTGCTTTTGGGCATCAATTTAATTAATGTTGATATTGGTTTGATTGATGAGGGAGATTTCTACATTAAGTTTCATTTATGTAATAAAGTTGATAAGTTTAAGTGGGCTTTAGTTCTGGTGTATGGGCCAGTACAAAGTGAATTTAAGGATCAATTCCTTGCTGAATTAGTTAATATGTGCAGTCATGAAACCTTACCAATTCTTATTGGTGGTGATTTTAATATTCTACGTACGTAGCCCTGATGAAAAGAATAATGATAATTATGATGATAGATGGCCATTCCTTTTTAATGCTATTATTGATGGGTTATGTCTCCGGGAGTTACAGATGTCTGGTAGGAAATTTACTTGGGCAAACAATTTAGTGAATCCAACATATGAGAAACTTGATAGGGTTTTAATGTTCACGGAGTGGGAACATAAATTTCCTTTATCTTCTGTGGTGGCTCTTAATAGAGATATTTCTGATCATACTCCTTTACTTTTAAATACAAACACTTCTTCTTTGAGTAATGCTCAACATAGTTTCAAGTTTGAATTTGGTTGGCTTTTACGTGATGGCTTTGTTGATATGGTAAAGGAGATATGGTCTAGTGTTGATGAACGCAATTCTGCCATGGAGCGGTGGCAGGCGAAAATTCGTCGTTTAAGACAGCATCTTAGGGGTTGGTCTAAACATACTAGTGGCTTGTACAAAAAAGAAAAAAAAGGAGATTTTAGATAAGTTGGATTTGCTAGATAAAAAGGCAGAAACTATGCTTTTGAGTCAGGAGGAGTTGGATTTTAGATGGTTTTGTAGAAATAGATTATCTACAATTCTGAGAGAAGAGGAAGTTAAATGGTATCAGAGGGTGAAATCTAAGGATATTTTAGAGGGTGATTCTAACACAAAATATTTTCATTTGGTTGCAAATGGAAAACATAGGAAGACTAGAATTTTTCAATTACATGATGGTGACCAATTAATAAATGGTGATGCGAATTTGAAATCGCATATTACCACTTATTATAAAGGTTTATTTGGGCCTCCTAATGATTCTACTCTTCAGTTTGATGAGAATAAATTTGCTGACATTCCTCAAGTTTCTCAGTTGGAGAATGAGGCTTTAACGCATGTTTTTACTGAAAAACAGATTAATGAGGCGATCTTCCAAATGGAACATAACAAAGCACCGGGTCCTGATGGATTTCCTGCTGAATTTTATCAAGTTTTCTGGAATGTCATAAAATGTGACTTATTAGATCTTTTTAAAGAATTTCATAATGATACTTTGCCTTTATACTCTCTTAATTTTGGTACGATCATTCTTTTACCTAAGTATGTTGAGGCCATGAAAATCCAGCAATATAGGCCTATTTGCTTACTTAATGTTAGTTTTAAGATCTTTACCAAAGTTGCCACAAATAGAGTCATGACGGTTGCCCAAAAGGCAATTAGTCCTACTCAAACTGCTTTCATTCCTGGGAGAAATATTATGGAAGGTGTGGTTATTTTGCATGAAACTTTGCATGAGTTACATCGTAAAAACAAAAGTGCTGTAATTTTTAAGATTGATTTTGAGAAAGCTTATGATAAGGTTAAATGGTCATTTGTACAACAGACTTTGAGGATGAAAGGCTTCTCTACTAAATGGTGTGAGTGGATTGCCTCTTTTATTCAAGGTGGTCATGTTGGTATTAAAGTTAATGATCAAACTGGTAATAATTTTCAAACGCATAAAGGTCTTAGACAAGGGGATCCTCTATCTCCAATTCTCTTTAATTTAGTTGCTGATATGCTAGCTTTACTAATTAAAAGAGCTAAAGATAATGGATCTCTTCATGGGGTGGTTCCTCACCTAGTGGATGATGGTTTGTCTATTTTGCAATATGCAGATGATACCATCATTTTTCTGGAGTATGATTTACAACAAGCAAAGAATTTAAAATTGATTATGTCTATCTTTGAGAAATTATCTGGCTTGAAAATTAATTTTCACAAAAGTGAGTTATTTTGCTTTGGTCAGGAAAAGGAGTGTTATGAGCAATATTCTAATATCTTTGGTTGTAAGTTAAGATCTTTTCCAGTTAAATATCTCGGTATTCCAATTCATTTTAGAAAGCTTTGTAATAATGATTGGAAAGTTATCGAACAAAGAATAGAGAAAAAATTTAGCAGCCGGAAAGGAAAACATATGTCTGTTGGGGGTAGACTGGTTTTGATTAATTCTGTCCTTTCAAGTTTAGCTATGTTTATGATATCTTTCTTTGAGATTCCGAAAGGGGTTCTTCAAAAGATTGATTATTATATATTTCGTTTCTTTTGGCAAGGAGATGACCATAAGAAAAATTATAGACTTACTAGATGGGATATTATTTGCCAACCCAAAGAACAGGGGAGTTTGGGGGTTCATAATTTAGATATTCAAAATAGATGTCTTTTGAGTAAATGGTTGTTCAAGTTAATAAATGAAAATGGTGTTTGGCAAGACCTATTGAAGAGAAAGTATCTTTATAATAAGTCTATAACCCAAGTTGACAGGAAACAAGGTGACTCCCATTTTTGGTCAGGACTCATGAATGTCAAAAACACTTTCTTAACTATGGGTTCTTGGATTGTGAATAATGGGGAACAAATAAGATTTTGGGAAGATAGATGGCTAGGAAATATGGCCTTTAGAGAAAAGTATCCATCTTTATATGCTATTGTCAGAAGGAGAAGTTCTTCTGTTGCTAGTGTGATGGCTTCTGTTCCGCTCAATGTTTCTTTTAGGAGAGCTTTAGTTGGTCAGAATTTAACACTTTGGCATGAATTGTGTGCATCTATTGTTCATATTCAATTGAATAATACTTCTGATTGTTTTAGATGGAACTATCATCAGAATGACCAATTCTCAGTTAGATCAATGTACTTAGCTTTAATTAATAATGGTTACATTGACAGAAATAAGTTAATTTGGAAACTCAAGATGCCGCTTAAGATCAAGATCTTTATGTGGTATTTGCTTAAGGGAGTTGTGTTAACCAAGGATAATTTAGCAAGACGGAATTGGAATGGTAATTTAAGATGTTGCTTTTGTACGAAAAATGAGTCTATCCAACATTTGTTCATTGATTGTCATTTTGCAAAGTTTATTTGGAGAGCAGTTTAGTTTTCTTTTGGTTTATATATTCCTACTAGCATATCTCATATTTTTGATGATTGGCTTCAGGGAGTCATAAACAAAAAGAGCAAACTGATACTTGTTGGAGCTTCTGCCTTGTGTTGGGCTCTGTGGCTGAGTAGAAATGATAGGGTTTTTGATAAATCACTTACTGTTACTTATATGCAGGTCATTTTCAAGGCAACATATTGGCTTCATCTGTTGTCACAGTTACAAAAGTGTGATGAAAATACAGATTTCTTAATTGTTGCATGTCGTAAGCTTGAAACGAAGATTATACAACTGTTTGCCAATCATGAATGGAGATTTACCAATAGACTAGAATAATGTTATTTTGTCTAGTTTGGTTGGTGTGTTTGCTTCTATTTGGATTTTACTCTTACAGAGTGCTATTTTGTAATAATTGGCTGTAGCTCTTTTGAGTAAAGACCGGGATGCTATTTCATTCTATTATCTAAAAAAAATATGATTCGTAGATCAATTCTTTACTTCCTTCCCAACATGTAATCACTTTAGAATTTTTCACGGAGACCATGGATAATTGTGAAATCGAATGAGGAATGGTTATATATTTTTTAAAAAAATAAATAAGTGGAGAAAATAAGTAAACAAATTGTTTTGCTTGTTGGTTTATTAATAATAGCTAAAATTTAAAATTTAATTTTAGAATTGATTTTGAGATTGTTTGCATCGTAGTTTAATTTTCAGGATCGACTTTTAAAAGCACTAAGAACAAAGATATACAAGTTTTATCCATAGATCAATTTTAATTGCTTCATTTATTTTTTATGGCTGATCAGCTTGTAGAGTAAATGATGAGAGATTAGAATTAAGTGAAGAAAGTTAAATGTATGATTAGTTAAGATATGGAGTAGGTAGAGAAGTAGTTATATTTTAGATAGAATTTATACTGTTGAAAGTAGTTATACTTTAGTGAGTAGTGGTTTGGGACTCCCTCCGTTTTATATTATAAGTTAATTTAAGTTTATCATAGGTCAAACCTTATCAAGTTTGACCAAATTTATAGAAAAATATAGCAACATTTATAACAAGTTTAAGGTAATGTTTTGGTAGTGATGTAGA